CAACATTGAATAAAAATTTATAATGGCAAAATGAATTAATTGATCTTTTACAAGCTTTCCTTTATAAGAGATATCGTATACTTAAAAAAATTAAAATAGGTCCTAAGGATATGTTTGTAATTATTATTAAAAATGCATTCTAATTTAAATATCAAGATATTAAATATTGTAAATAATTTCAGAATTTCTTATCCATTATGAATTTATTAATGGTATGATATTCCAATCACTCTGGATTCTAAATTTCTTATCTTTCTCAAAAATTATAAAACCAGAGAACTTTTTGTTTCTTTCAATTTTACCTTATTTAATTCATCTTAAGTACTATAATAAATATATAACGAATTTCACAAATCCCATTATCTAGATTAAATGCATATTAATAAATGAAAAGCTTGAAATGAGTGTTAATACATAAAATTTTAATTGATAACTTAAAAATTATTCTGTGATTTATAAAAGGATATGAGGAACACTAAATTCTTCTGTTTCCTGATATTTTAATATCCGTCTTTGGAAGATTTGATCAAATCTTGTCTAGCGAAATACAAATGTATTTATTGTTATTCTTGTTGCCAAAGGATGGACAAAAAATAGGAGCCAGAGTAGGTAGAGTGAATAAACTAGAGGGCTTAATTTACTATTGAATTGAATTAAATTTGTTTTGAGGTTTTAGACCAAATAGATATAAATTGAAGCAGTAGGACAAGTTCCAAATAGCTTGTGAAATGAAAACATGAAAGAGATAACTTTGGATAAGTATATATATGAGCAGAAAATTTTTCTTAACTAATAGAAAATAGAAGATAATGAATTTGATCTTGCGATGGATTTTAAAAATTTAATAGAGAAACATTGAAGATAGAATAGAGTGATTAGTTCATATATATGAAAGCTTTTGAAGATGCTTATAAGATTCAAAATATTGTAGTTTTATTTTAGATGCCATATTTCCTTTATAAATCTGTTCTTAATTTAGTGCTTATAAAACTTAAAGTATAATAATTTAATTACTTAGTTTCATTTTTTAGCAATTCTTTTTAGACTATTCTTGTAAACTACTTTTATTGTGTAAACCTATTCGATGGTTATTTATTCTTAATAGCAATCAGTTAACTTTCTCAAATTTCTATACAATTTTACTTAATTAAAAATGCATTCGCTTTGTATATTATTCGGATAAAACAGTTTGAGAATTACTTTTAATTTCTTAATTAAGAAGAGGGAAGATATTTGAAGAAATAATATATTATAAATAAAACAGCAATAAATATAAAAGTGAATAAGTGCAAAATTATTTAATTCCATATGCACAAGGTTTTAATACCAATTTAAATTGAAATCTGAATATATTTTTGTTATTTATCATTTCCTATAATAACCCTTTAACCCTTTTCCATCCGACTACTTAATTTAATTTTAATTTTATTTTACATAAGCAATTACTTTTCTTATTATAGTTAATATACAAGGTCTCCTTTTCAAAAAAATATTCTCTACTCAAGAATATCTCCTCTTTGACTCTTTCCTATTTACTGTTTCTTGTTCTGTTTATCTGCTCACTTCTTCTACTTGAAAATTTTCAATTCTACTGGCTACAATGATAACCTTCCGAATGATTATTCGTCCACAATAAAATATATGGCTTTGAGTAAAATGATCATCAAATATTAACAAATTTTTC